ACCTGGGTATTAAAATATAAAAAATTTTACTGCAGAAAATCGTAGGGAATTTATTAGACTGATAAGCTTCGAAAATTGTACATGAATCGAACGTTCATCTAGAAATTTTTAGCCGTCCGGAAGCAAAAGAAGATTTTAGGCAATATTTGCTTCTCCGAACAGATGTTTTACAGAAAACAGTCGTTGCGTGCCCCTTTAATTTTATCAAAGTCTAAAACCAGCTCCTCACTAACGACGAAAGCGCAAGCTTAAGCAAAAGCATAATCCAAACATAAGGTAGGCCCGGTTCAGATGCCGCTCCACTCATGTACTGAACCTAAATTGAATTAGGTCCGACTTTAGAGCAACATTGGCGCACAGCAAAGTCTGAGCCCGTTAATAGGGAGCTTAAGCAACAACGACGGCGACGGCTACAAAAACGTCACTTAAAAAGTGAATTCGCGCTGCTTCAAACTTTATCGAACTTACTTCGTTAAATGTTGGCAAATGTTTTTGGAGTTGAATTCTAAAGGACTGTATCAAAGTTCAGGAAAAGAAAAACAAAGTTGTTGCCTTGTTTTCCCGTCCTCGACAAAAAGTGAATTTAGGCACTTTCACGTTGTAGTCGTGCAACAACGGCTAAGAAATGTAGAAAGAAAACGTGATGCACGCGCAAAGTTCTTGTTTTGCTAATCTAAACCTATTGCTTTTTTGCCATCCTCGTTGCTGTCGAGGCGTCGCGTTGCTTAAGCTCCCTAATGGACACTGAGAAGGCCAAAGAAAGTGTCCGTATAAAGCGGGTTGAATTTAGAGAAAATATGACGGCTTACTTTCACCAGGGACAAGGAATACGGTCCGTAATAAAGAGGTGTCCCTCCGTATTAAGCGGGTGTCCATAACACGGGGTTTTAAGCTAGGTGAGAAAGGCTGTGATATATATAAGCATAGGAGTAGGAAGAATGCAAGGTTTTGATATTCTTGTGTTGAAACTTATCAGTGCTTATATCAAGGCCATCCTCCTTAATACCGAATGCAATACTTGTGTCGCCAGTGAAGACCAGGCTTTTAGATACAGCTGAAAGTTATGATGCCTTGCAGTGAGTAAAGTGATAGATCATGATTGGTCACTATACATTCAATACTCAGTTTTTTAACCTATTGATATTCATGGCGCTAAGTTGAATAACCTGCGATCAAGGGCTGTATTCCTATTTTTCTGATTTACAGAAAGAAATGTTTGCAGATGATCGCAGCCTACCTTTAAAATGAAAGCAGTCATGGTAAATATTTAAAGGATGTTTTTTGAGTTGACTCGCTGGACAGCTGGAGTGTTTTGTTCGACTAAACTGGCAGATGCTAGTACCGACGGAATTTTTAACGCTTATGTGTTAACAGTGTGGTTCCTAAGGCCAAATCTCTGACAAATCCATCCCCCAATTAAACGTAAAACTTGCCTGTACTGTGGTATTCTCCAAGGGTAGAGCAACGGGTTCAACGCACAGCTAACACACAACAGCGGTACGGAGAGGGCTTTAGTCAGCAAAACCCTGGCTCGCTGCATTCACCACCAAGCTCTTCTTGGCAGCGTTCTTGTAAATTTTTCACGATTAAATACGGCAATAGAGATATGAAGAGCACAATGATAATTAAAACAACAGTAGAAACAATCTTTTTCTCCAACCTAATGTTTCGAAGAAAAATGCGTGACCGTTCGCCTGTGTTTTCTCGCATAAAAACAACGTTTCTTGAATAACGGCGAAATTCGATGTAAGTCGCGGTGTATAGGGCACACATGATAGTCAATGGAATAGTCGTTTGAAGATGAAGATCAATTACGTGGAATACTTCCTCATATTTATCCAAAGAATGAGAAGCTTCAAACATAATGCAGAAAATCCAGATTAAAGCGTTACAAACAATTACTTTTCGCACTGTTATAACTCTTTTATACCTCAATGGAAGCTTGACAGCTAAAAATCTATCCAGCGATAGCGCAACTACTGTAAAAATTGATATCTTTGTGGTTACATGGCTGAAAATAAGAGCGATTTCATAGAGTTTCTGCGGTTGGCCTCCGGTAGAGATGGTAAACATAGACGCAGCATACATTGGCTGCACAAGACAGCCTCCTAGAAGATCGCTTAAAGAAAGACTAAGGATAAAGTACGTGGTCGCGCGAGCTCGAAAATAATTGTACGGATCTTTGAATACTGTAAATAGAAGAAGGCTGTTTGTTAAGGCTGCAAATAAACCAAATAGTGAGCTACAAATTCCTGCCACCATTCCAAATGTCGCGGTCGGTAAACCTTCAACATGGTATTTTTCATCGTCTTCTTCGTTCATAATTATGACAAAGTGAAGCACTCTTTGCTTACCGGAGACACTCTTTAACTCACAGATTACTGCTTAAGACTAATGAATCGCCTTGGATGCATGAATAGTTAATTCGTCCTAGGGGAAAATAACGCCTATGATGGAAGCTGTTATTTTGCAGTACTTATGTCTTAATGACAAAAGTTACGTCCATGTGACAGAGAAATAATCAAACTCTACCGCCACGAAAATAACAAGCATTGTCAGATAATGTCAATAAACTGACAGGTGAAGGCATACATTTCATAGCAAAATCTCAGTTTAAAATTGCTCTAATCATTTGGCCATCTCGCAAACGGTTAATGACGTTGTTACTGAAGACTCAGAAAAACTATTCCGAAAAGATTGATTAGAAAATGTTCACTAATTCGAAAGCAGATGAATCGTTAAACAACAAGGAAAATTCGCTTTTGTTTGTTCAAAACATAGGATTTGCAAAGCAACATCGGGCGCAGTGTGAGAAATTTGCATATTTCAGCAGAAACCATGTATTCTTGTTTGCAGTTATCATTGTTAATCTTCGATGGTTGAAGAGCAAACTTAGGCTTAAAATCGACGCAACAAAACGAGAGAATCTCTTTTGTTTTGGGGTATGACGTGATGAAATGAGATACTTACCGTATAAAATGAAAAAGCTCTCTGCCACTTAACTCGTAACTAATGGATTAAAAAGGTCTTTAAATAGGCCTTCATGTCGGAAAATAAAATCCGGAGCTTTTAAAAATATGACAAAGTTTTATATCAGGTTAAGACTAGAAATGAGATTGGAAATCAAATAAGAAAATGTGCATGAAGATTGTCGGTGAGTTTTCGCCGACTCTTTTTATTAACAATACTGCCTTAACAAATATTTGACCATATATCATTTTCACCTTCCTGTGATTACATTAACATCCGACACAGCTGTGACAAATAAATACTGATAGATCGTCTGGATATTTTGATTGACAGACAATATTCTTTGCAATCTTAGAAACTCTTATTGTACTGCTACAGTGGCCACTTCAGAGGCAGTTTTGATGCAAATTAAGAGAGCATTTCTCCTGATGATTTCTTATTTTCAAGAGAAATTTAACAAGCGCCGGGTTTTGTTTGAAGTTTCATCACCAATGCAGTGATTAAAACATCTTAAAAGGAACTGCTTTAAATTAGAGCATTAAATAAGCACTACTGTTAATTTCAGTTTCTTCGTTTATTGCTAAAAAGAGTTAAGCAACTATCGGTTCACAAAGTCACGGAAACTGTTACATCGAGCG